TGAACAAATCCCTTTGCACTGTATCTCAATAGAGAAGTTAAAACTCCCAAACTTAAAAATATTTTTCTGTCTGTGACCATGCAATTTTCAAACATCAAAGACTTCCACCCAGTGCTTTTTCAAAGTTGGGTATATACATATTCTTCTAGGAGCTTGTGCTATTTTAGGGACTGCCTCGAGCAGTAAGGAGTTCTGTCACAACCTGCCCTCTAATGTAAGGTGCCTTTATACTGTTCAGCTGTGGTTTAAACCCCTCAGAGCCATAGCCTGCCCACAACAGTCTCATCCTGGCTTCCAGTAGCCCTTCCACTGTGGAGTCTCCCTATATCTGTCCTCCTTCAGTTTTTAACCACCAGCTGCTCTGACTTGTCACCACAAAAGGTGTTAAACCACCTCCTCCCAGTTGTCAGCTCAGTTTGGCACCTCCATTTCACACCAATTACAGCACAGAGACCTGCTTGGGTAAAAAATAAAATTACTTGAGAGAAAAATCAGATTCAAAGATGAAATAGCAAGGGAAGCAAACAGAGAAATTACACAAAAAATAAAGATGCAACCTCAGGGTTTACAGTGGCAAATTAGATTAAACTCCCTTTTTTAATACGTTACAGATTGTCTCTGACCATTTTCCTAACATGTCCCTTGCTACAATGAAGACCCAGCATTTGGCAGACAGTTTCTGGATATTCATCAGGTCAAATGCCCTTCCCCCTCTCCCTTTTTTCCCTCTTTCCTCTCAGGCTATTGTGACTCATAGTTATGCAGCGTGAGGCATTTCTAGCTGGGATGGCTCAGTGTCTTCCCATTCACTGTAACAGCCCATCGATTGCCTGTTTCTGAGTTGTACGATGGTAGAGGGTAAGTACTTAGAGCTAGTATCAGCTGAGTGGGGAAGCATCCCCTCCCTGCCTGACTAACCAGAACCCCACTGAGATGGAGGTGAATGCAGGACAAATTATGAGCACAATTTTATAGATACACATTCATAACCACAGTCTGTATATATCGCTCTTAATGACGCTAAAGTTCAGACCATTACAAGCTTGCATATAAAAACTAACTTGTACTATTTTAGTACAATAACATGAACAATCAGTTGATTCAACTGTTTATTCTTTGAGGTTCAGCCGCCTTCTCCTTTTGGGATGTCTGGGCCCTAATTGTCACAGATGGCTATTTTTAAAAAAACAGAAATTGTTTTTGGAAAGTTGTGGGTGGGCTGCACAGAAGAGTTTGGTCTATGATGCCTTATCAGTGTCTATTACCATTGCCTCCCTTCTGCTTTCCTGGTAGGTAAAATGGCAACTGTGTACAGATGTCATGTTTAGAAACTCTATGATTCTTTTCCTTCAGCATCTGTTTGAGTTCGAACCATATATAGCAGGGGTCTGAAAGTTCTTAGTATACCTGAGACTGCGCTCATAACCTGCACGCTGCATAGGTAGTGATGCAGGAGATGGCTAGCTCCACAAAGGCGCCCTAGGTGAGCTGGTGGGTAGTAGAATCCTGAATTAAGGGGGGGCCATGCTCCCCAAACAATGCATGGGGAGTGTTACCTGCCTGAAAGGGATCCACAGAAGCCAGCATGGGAGGTGGTAAGCTGTCTAAGCTAGCCAGTAGTGAAAGGCAGAGGAAAGGGGCTGCGGTTAGGGCAAGATCCCCAAAGGTACTTCTTAGCATATGTGCAATGTGCCTCAGGTGGCATGTGACCAGGAATCATCACTGATGGGCTAAAGGGAAGCATGCATCTCAGCTCAGGCTGCTCAGCTGTGAACCCTCTCTGGTGTCGAAGCCAAGCTAGGCACGTGTTCCTGAGAAAATGATCAGCGACAGAGGCACCCTTTACAACCCAATCCCATTATAGCCCAGGGCCCAGCAGGTAGGGCGCTCACCAGGGTTGAGGGAGCCCTGTTTTCAAATTGCTGCTCTTGGAGCAGGGACTTGTACCCAGGTCTTCACCTCCTATGATAGTGCCCTGACTCTGTCCACCAGACGATTAGGTAAGTCACAATCGCTTCTGCGGGAGCTGGTCCACGTTGTATAAGAAACAATTACTCACTTTTTGTAATTGTTGTTCTTTGAAATATGTTGCGTGTGTCCATGCCACTAGGTGTGTGAGTGCCTGGTGCACCAATGCCTGAGTTTTTCCCTAGCAATATCCAGATGCGTAGCGACACCTGTGCCCTGGTGACCCTCGTACGCCAAGCTGAGCATAAAATGAGCAGAGCCACCGCCCCACCCTCCTTCAGTTCCTTTGAACTGGAATCTTAGATGACCCATTCCACTGTGTTGGGGTAGGGGAGTGAGGTGTGTAATGGACATATGCAAAATGGCTTGAAAAACAGTTATGAGCAGTGAATAACCATTTCTTTGTCTTTGCATAGGTCCGTTAACCTTAGGTGATGCCCAAGCTGTTTGTGAAAGAGCAGGGAGACTGCAGCTAGGCACAGCAGGGGTTAAAGACCACCTGTGGGTTCAGCTCATCCCATCCTGTTATACCTGCAGCCAATGCCAGGCCTGGAGGGGGGAGAAAAGAATGGGAGCCTGGCTCAGTCAAGGGCTGACTAGCAATGAGGCAGGAGCTCTTGGTATGGCTGCCTGAAGGCACAGACCAGCAACTGGCTTGCCAATGGAGCCACTGGAGGCAAGTAAATCTTTGCTGGCCAAGGGGAACTTACAGCTAAGCCCCAACTGTGGGGCAACTGGATGAGTGGGGGGCTATGCCCCAAACTAAAAGGACATGCAGGCCAGGAAATGAAGCCCTGAACACCCCTTTACAGGTGGGAGAAAGATCCATCTCCCCTGTTTAGGGGTTGAGCAACATAGGACCCTGGGCCAGGACCTCAGGCAGAAGGAGAGGTCAAGTCCTGTTACAGCTCCCCTAACCACCAATCTAGCCCCTAGACTCCCTGGCCACTGAGGGCCCTATCACTGTTGGTGGGGTTAGGTGTAGCATTAGAAGTTGTGCAGGACTGTTTGCCCACCTTTGCATCATTCCTTCATGCAGTAACAATTGTGTAAAGGCTAGCAAATGTGACAACTGAAGCCCACATCGTTGTTCTGCAGATGTCCATCATAGGGGCACTTCCCACACATACTGTGGGTGCTGGCTGTATTCTGGGTGAATGGGCACACAGTATCTCTGGGGGGCATAACACCCTTAACCTCATAGCACATGACCATACAACTGGAGAACCATTTGGAAAGCTGGTGCACTGTGACAGACTGCCCTATCATTCATTCTGTGTAGGAGATGAACAATTGGGAAGAAACCCCAAAGTGCTTTATTCTACCAGGTAAAAAGCCAGAGCTTGGTGAACATCCACAGGATGGAGCTTTTGATCAGAGAGCATGCATCTTTGGAAAGAGGCTCAGTTAATTATATTGGCTGATTAAGATGGAAATCAAATACTATTTTGGTAGGAAACCAGATGTCACTTAACTCCCACCAGTGACCACTACTCCCAGATAGACTGTATTGTTTATATGCCTCTGTAGTCATGCTCACATTTTACGGACAGAGGCCTGAGGAAGGATAATCTAGGTGTCAGGATACTCAGATAGGGATGTGGGAGATCAGGGTTCAATTCCCTGCTCCACTGCACTTAGGTACCTACATATCTTTGACAATTGGGTCTAATTCCCATTGATTTCTATGTGGGAGCCAGGCACCTAAATACCTTTGAGGATCTATGGCTAGATCCACAAAGGTAGATTGATCTGAGGTGTCAACTGCTGCTTTCCAGAGCTTCAGTACCAGTTCCCCATCACTCCCTACCCTCTTTCTAACTGTCCCCATTTTCCCACATCCCACAGAAGGAGAGCCAAACAGACCTACTACAGTGGTGTGTGTGTAGCAGGCAGAGTTGCCCTTCACCTACTCCTAGCTGCATAAACAAAGGAAAGTAATTGCCCCACTACCTCAGGTGCACTTGCTCCTCCACACTGCCTCCTACCCTTAGCCCCATGTCAGAGTTGAGGACTTCAAGGGGTGCTGGCCCCCTGGAGAGCCATGGGTTAGGGAAGCTGATGAGCCAGTTGAAATCAAAGCATGCAATGGCTATACATGGAAGAGGCATTCAGTATTGAAAGAGACAACATAGTGTAAACTGAAGATATCTGTAAATGGGTAGTTAGAAAAGGAACACAAAAGCATGACCAGATTCAATATACAGGAAGGGTAGATGCCAAACTAATTTAGGTAAACCAACATCGCAAAAAAGGCTGAGTTTTCCTATATGTAGGGGTAGGCTGTGCCCTGGCCCAGTGAGATAGGGGACAGAGAACACAGGTGGTGCATCCATGATTCTGCTGAGCAGGTGTCCTTGCATTCCCCAAAGCACAAAGACATGGTGAGGCTAGCAATAAAAATTAGCCAGAGTTGTCCCTCCCTTCCCTTTTGGGAGGGGCTAGGTACAGCTAGACTTTCCATTTAGTTTGGTGTGAAGGGAAAGGCTCCACTAGCCTAATGAGTTGTGGAAATGCATCTATGGGTGACTTTTGATCTAAATATTCTTACTGGAGATTATACATAAGGAAGAAGGAACACAGCTTGACGTTTCAGTTCCTGGGGTGCGTTTGAAGGATAACTGCTAGGAAAAAAAAATCCTATTTGAAAATTTGATCTGAAAGTCAATGTTACCATATTTGTACCTCACACATTCTATGTATACAATTCACTTTCCATACCAGAACCGCACTTTAACCCAGCCATAGGGTTGGGTTAGGACCTCTGCTTTGTCTCATCTGAAAGACAGGACCTTCAATGAGACAGTGGGGCATTATCAGCTCAGAGAGAGGCATATCACCTACTATATCACATGCAGTGCTTAAGTTCTCCAATCCACATACCAACAAGGTCTAACCATCTTAACTTCGGAGAGTCGATGTGATTACAGTTCAAAGCCTTAATAGGTGGAAAATTCATAGAAATGTACATGACATAGGCAATTTTTAAGCCTCATTTGATCACAAATCACAACCACTTAGAAAAAGCCATATAAATAAACTACTTCAACTTTAATTACAAGAGCTTTGGTAATCATACATATATAATTTTGGCATTATTTACAAAAGTCAAGGTTGTATACATGTATCAAACAGAACTTCCAAGTTTAGACTTTGACCCTTGAAATTCTACAAGAGTCATCACATTCCTGTTCTCATGCTGCAGAGTTTGGTGGAGTTAGCAGTTCACAGAACAGTAGAGATCTTACTCCTATGTATTTTTAATACATGCTCTCAGACGTTGGAGAGCAGGACCCCAGCCATTCCTTAGGGACATTAATGTAGAGAGCTTTGTCCTTCTCTCATCTCAGTTACCCATAGGGCTACTTAAAAAAATAGAAACGTGCTACAGATGTTATTACTGGTAGCAACACAGAAACTGAAGTGTTACAATACACGCAAAAAAGGACATTTCCTATTTACCCATTTTCCTACTAGAGTGTGCTTAAAGATGAAAAATCAATTGGAGGAGTACCCTTACCAATTTCTCTCTCTCTTAACCTGAAAGTTTATAGCTTTGTTTGAGGAAGACTTCTGTAATCATATATTATACACAAATAATTGAAGACTGCTTATAATACTGTCAGAAGACAGATGGTGGCACACAGTCAGGAGGGCAATCTGCCACTGATATGCATAAAAATGCAGCAACTCTGAGCACTGCTTTTGTTCACTTGCCATTTTCTCTTCTGGATTCATGTCAACGCAAAAGCAAAATCATGAGTAAGGTGGCTCACTGAGACACGGAAAGTAGTCTTCAGTCTTGAAAAGTGCTTGAGGCTCATACAGGGTCTGATGTTGCCGTGAGGAAGATGATTTCTGTGATTAAGAAACATTTTATTTGATTTTTGCCTTTGCTTTACCACTTTTTGTTCAGTTATGTAATGAGCTATATTTGCATAGAACATTAACCGCAAGCCCTTTGTCTCTTCATAACTGACAAGAATTCCTTCATATAAACTGCATAGTTCATATAAAAATTGCTTCCACTTTACATTGTTTCTATTCTCAGTGTCTGGAAACTCAAACACACACGTGCCAATCTAACTGGCTAAATTAAAAGGTTGCCTTATGTTAATGAAGTCACTATAATAAAATGAAATGGGAAACTTTTGGTTATTTTATATTTCAAAAACATATTGCCTCTCTCACTGAAGTATTAACTTTTTGATCAAGTACATTTCATCTTAAATAATTGCAATAAATCCAACAACTAAACTGGGGAGAAGTCAGTATTTCCTTAAACTTATCCATACTATTGTTATTGCAATGCTACAGAACATTTAGCAAGAATATTGACCTAAAGTGCCATTGACAACAGGCAGTTTGACAATTTACTTTATTATACCTGTTGTAATCATTAGGATTTAAATTATTTTACCCTTTGCTTTCACATACTCATCACTTTCTCAATAAACTGGTCTCAGCCAGGAAGTGAACTTTATTTGGAAAGAAGGGATTTTCCTCAGGCTGACACTTGGGTTATAAGAAAATTGAACAAAACTGTAAACTAAAAGTTGCTTATGGCAACTCACAACATATAAAGTGAAAAATGGCAGCTTGGTGTATGGCTTGCTCCCCTACAAGAAAGTCTTAGCTACATTTAGAAAAACTTAGAAGGGATACCATCAATTTAAAAATATCCCTTCTGCCTGAAATAGTTTTTATCTATATTGTTAAAAGTAACACATAACTGAAAAATTCTACAGAAGAATCTCTTTCTACTTTGTGCAGACAGTTTCCCCTGGGTGCATCAGTTTTTCCATACAGCAACATGGGAGAGAAAGTATTTTAAAAACATGACTACAATCACAAAAGTTGGCAGAACTCAAGAGCAGCCACAGTATCTGAAACTACTTTTTACTCTTCTTTTACATTAAGTGTCCTGCTAAGTGAATAAGTATAATTATTTTTGAGTCTACTTGGTGGGCACTTCAAATTTTAGCAGTGTAAAAAAGCCTGCCCCCTCAGTAACATTTGGAGGTGTGAGAGCTGTACATTCTCACTCCTTGGCATGATGAGTGTCCCAATAGAAGTAGAACTTCTGGGACAATCTTAAAATGAGACTGTGGATACATCATTTAAGACCAACCAAAACTTCCTTCACACCAAGGACCAGTTAAAAAGTAAACAAAACAACACAACCCTGGCGAGAGGAAAAAAATTGCAGCCAAAAAGGAAAGGTTCCCAGAAAGTTGTTAGCAGGTAAAAAAGCTAGGACGAAAGTCCTAAGATAACTAACTTACACCATTCACTCCCAAAAGCTTGCTATAATATGTGAATTATTGTTTATGTCCCCAGTCCTGCAAACATGTAAGTACTTGCTTAAGTTTATGCAAGTGAATAGCCTGTTGGAGAACCCTATGCATGAAACTATATTCAGAAAAGGCTGGGTAGAAATGGCATCGCTGCACTTAAAAGATTTGGTCTCTGTTTATTGTTAGTGAAAATATTCATACTACTTTATATTCAGTTTAGTCATACATGGCCTGCACAACTGTGATAGAGAGATTTGGATTCTAATTTAGCTTGTTCAACAGAATTAATTAAGTTTCAACTACTGAATTTATTACTAGTGTAATAAATGTTCATCGAGTGCATAATGTTCAAGCTAGAACAAAACTGGACTTTCAGATCCCAGTGAGTGTGTATAATGCTGGCAGTTAAACAACCACTTTTTAACCAATGAGCTGTGAAAAATTGATAGCCACAGAGACAATCAAACACTCCAGTGCCATTTTTACAAATTAGAACAGCATTGTCATGGTTATGAATAAAAATTTGTAACCTTAATATTGTATAATTAAGCTCTTGCATTTAATGACTTCTGTAGCAGCACAGACTGGTTAAAGGCTACTTTTATGGGAACAAGAATACAGTGGTGTCCTGGTCCATGATTGGGGGCTCGAGGTGCTGCTGCAATACAAAACGAAAGATTGCTAAGTGGCTTAGAAACACAACTTCTGGACTGAATGAAATATTTCTCCTCTTAAAACTGCAAAGTTATTTGATCACCCCCTTCTTACAAAAGAAGGAAAATGAGGCACTGGGAGGATAAATAAATAACTTACCCACGGCTGAAGAGCTAGTGTCAGAGTTGGAAACAGGTTTTTTGACCTCAATCCTCAGCCCTGTCTAAGAGAATGCTAGCTCTCTAGTAACGCATTCTCCTTTACCACTCTGATACTACAGTTTGAAGCACAACTCAAGGGACTGCCATAAACTTCAAAAGCTAAAATAAACCTATCAGATTAAGTAGCTTACTTCTCATTTTTCAACATGTAATTGGCCCATCACCACAAAGGAAAAGGAATTTTATTCTCCTGTATGAAAGCCATCTAACAAGGTGCCTTGTGATCCATTTACTGTAAGTCATGTGACCACAGCATCCTTATTTATTTTTAAAACAACATAGCGTTCAGCGACCTTTTTCGCTCTTCTGAAGTTCTCATGTAGACTAGCACTTTGAAAAAATTCCTTGCACATTTTTAGTTTGTATAGGTTCCTCCTATCTGTCTTCAGGTTGGAATTCAGTGACCTTAAATAAAAGGTTTGCTCTTTTTGCACTTGTTTTGTAGCTCTTTTCCTGCCTCACACAAGTTCTCTTTGGAGCATGAACTCAGGCCCTCACAAGAATTTATTCTCTTGCTTACTCTGTTGTAAGATTATCATTGTGCACCATACCCAGCTTGTGCCATGTGCAAAAACTTCAGATTTAAGCTCAAATCTATTAATCTATGAATTTATCTTTAAGGCCAGAAGGGACCATCATGATCATCTAGTCTGACTTGCTGCACATCGCAGGGCACAGAACCTCACTCACCCACGCCTGTAATAACATCTGGCTGAGTTATTGAAGTCCTCAAATCTTGATTTAAAGATTTCAAGAGAATCCACCAATTACTCTAGTTCAAACCAGCAAGTGACCCATATCCCACACCGCAGAGGAAAGTTGAAAAACCTTCAGGTCTTCTGCCAGTCTGACCTCGGGGAAAATTCTTTCCTGTCCCCAAATATCGTGGTCAGTTAGACCCTGAGCATGTGGATGAGACCCACCAGCCAGACACCTGGGAAAGGATTCTCTGTAGTAACTCAGAGCCCTCCCCATCTAGTGTCCCATCTCTGACTGTTGGGAGATATTTGCCAATAGCAATCAAGGATTGGCCAGGTGACATTGTAGGCACTCTTCTCATATCATCCCCTCCATAAACTTATCAAGCTCAGTCTTGAAATGAGTTAGTTTTTTTGCCCCCACTATTTCCCTTGGAAGGCTGTTCCAAATCTTCACTGTAGCCTCATTCAAAGCCTACCATTCTCGTGACACATTTTAAGACACACTCACCTTGACAGAAACATACTTACATTAAGAAAGGATGGTACACTGATAGTTTGTAAGAATTTTTTAAAGGTGTTTGGAAAAGTTCCAAGGTCTGTTTCTGCCTTGGTGACCTGCTCCTCCAGTCCAGCCACATTATTTCCAACCATTTTTACAAAGGCCTAGTTAAAAATAAAACAAAGCTATCTTTATTCATCGTTATGTAAGAACATTTCCCAACAAGAGGTCTGAAGATGTTCAGATTATGTAGAAATTAAAATATAATTGTCAGGTAACAATCCTCAAAGAGCATTAAAAAAATCGTATTTTGTGCCATCTCCATTTTTGAATTTGTGCCACAAATAACCCACTTGTGCAACCTTCTATATGATTGGAAATGGATAATTTGGAAGTTGAGTAGAGTAAGACAGACCAGTTGTTTTTTTAAAGAGAATATAGAAGAATATTAACATTCGGCAGACCAATTTAATGTAGTTAGACAACAAGTGTCCTGTTTTATTTAACTGAAAGTTGTTACAACGTTTGCTTACATAAAGTGAGATTTTGTCTTGGGGAGCAGCAGTAAACAAAATGTTATTGTACTTTAATTTGTAACAAGGTCTTGAATTGTTTTGCATGGTACTTGCTCTGAAATTCCTTCCATACCCATGAATGTCTGCAGCTCTCTCAGACATGGACAAGAATGATAACTGTCGGAAACTAAACACTGAATGTCTCCAGCCCATTTGATGTTTAAAAAATGAGAAAAAAAATCCAAAGGCAAAACATTTTCAATATGTTCAGTAGTTAATTAAATTAAAATTAAACACACAAAACAGCATATAAAATAATTGTTTTGTTTAATAAAAAAGTTTAATGTTTTGATAAGAGAAGTTTATGTATAAAAACCATGTTCCACATTTACAACTAAATGATTTATTAAACACAGGGATTAACTGCAATCAGTGAATTAAACTGAGTATTTCTATCAGTCTGGGAAAACGTTCAAATATAACTCAGTAAAAGAGACTGGAGCTTAAGTTCCTAGTCTAGTCTAAGGCCATGTTTACACTAGGAAGCTTACAGTGACAGCTGCACTGCTGTAAGACCACTCGTGTGACCACTCTGATGGGAGAGAGCTCTCTCGTTGACATAATAAAACCACCTCAACAAGCAGCGATAGCTATGTTGGCGGGAAAAGCTCTCCCACTGACGTAGTGCTGTGCACACTACCACTAATGCTGGCAAAATTTATGTCGGTCAGATGTGTTGTTTTTTCACATCCCTGAGTGACATAAGTGATAGCATAGACATGGCCTAAGTCTCTTGAAAAAAATCACACTTGGTCCACACTACAAACATATGTCGGTAGAATTATGTTGCTCAGGAGTGTGGAAAATCCATACCCCTGAGTGACACAGCAATACCGACGCAATCCCCAGAGTAGACAGGGCTATGTCAATGGGAGGGCTTCTCCTGCGTGGTGCGGTAGCTACGCTGACAGGAGAAGCGCTCCTGTTGGGTATGGTAGTGTCTTCACTTAGCACTATAGCGGCACAGCTGCACCTGGGTGGCTGCAGTGCTGTAAGTGTAGACAAGCCCTGAGACGGTCTCTTAAGTTACTCAGGCTCACCTACTGTGCCATATTTATAAAGCTTGATCTCCAAAGTTAGATATTCCCCCCCGATCTTTCTTTATAGAAGCCTTTAATTCAAAGTTTTTGATAGAGGCTCATGGAGTCAGCATATTTATTTTTTATTTAAATATTTCTAAAAAGTTTATAGGTTCAAGCCTTCACATATTTTGTAATAAATTCAGATTTTAAACAGGTTTATTTTTTTTACAATGATACACTCGTTATGACGTAATGAAATAAAAAAAATTTAAATAAAATCCATTTTTTAAAATCATTGATTTTTATCCACCCTGATTAAAAGTGCATGTCTGGTTAACTTCCCCCACACATCCTATCACTTTAATTATGTTAATAGCACTCTAGTCTATTCTGCCTTTCAGTCACCGTGCTGTGGCATTCACTTGTAGGGGGCAGGAGATTGTTTTACAAAGCAAAGGTTTTCAGGCTTGAAAGCAGGGGATAGGGCAAAATCTTTGCTGTCAATTTCAGAGATACGGACATACAGGCCGAGAGATTCACTTGTTGCCTAATTGTTGAACACACACTAGGAAATTAATAATTGTGCGCGCTTCCATGGCGACAAGTGAACTGAACAGAGGTTGCAGCATTCTATTCCCTCATGCTATTGCCATCTTGGATTATATATCAATATAGTAAAATTGATTAAAAGTCAAAGATATTCTGAAACAAATGTATATGTACCCCACTAACTTCCCATTCATTTCAGTTTAGAATTGTCTTTTCAGGTTTTAAAACAAACCCATTGACTTTCAGTTTTCTTCACAATCCTAGCCTCCCTCTTCCTCTTCACTGATCTCTCAATGAACTCTTGTCCCTCCACAATGATGGTATAAGAGCTTTCTAATCCACAGCTCCTAGTATCTGAAACTCTTCCTGGATCTCTCTATTTCAAACTCATTTCAGATCTTAGCTGTTAATATTTTTCTTCATTGCCTAGGCGGGGTAACATTTTCAAAAGCACCTAAGTGATTTAAGTGCTTTTGTACCACTGACTTCCACTGAGAAGTGGAATAGGATTTAGAAGCCTGGGTTATGTAAATGCTTTTGCAAATGTTATCCTGGATCTCAATTTTCCTCTCATTCTACTGTTTGAATTGTTTTGGGAGACACTCCGTATGAAAGACACTATCAAAAAGTATAAGTGCATTACTGATTTGAGAAAGCAGGAAAGCTAGCTGTCTTATTCCAAGCAGCGAGCGCCAACATAAATGAAGATACTGTTCAAGAAACCTGGCGCTTTCAGGGAATTACAAAAAAACCTATTAGTTCCCCACGTTAAACCTGCATTAAGATTTGGATATTAGTTACCTTTTATAGTTTAGATTGCAAAATTTCTCATTCTCTGAGAAAAAACATTAAGTAAAATAAGTTATAATACTGTACAGAATACATATACAATTTTCAGACGCAGTGTACTGGAATACTAACATGATGAACCATACAGATGGATGGTGCACTGATTTATAGCAGTGAACTGTTTGTTCCATTTATTTTAATACTGACTTGTTGAATGCACTGAGACACATACACAAATTCAAACAAATTTTGAATTTAAATTATGAGAACTTCTATTAAAAATGTTATCTACCCTGCACCAAGCGTCATGTAGAATGTCTTTCTATATGACACTGCTCTGCAAGGACTGCTGCTACTAACCTTGTAATATAAAAGAAACATTTTGTAGATGGGGTGATGTGCGTGGAAAAGGCAACTTGGAAAAAAAGCAGAGATAACAGGTTTCAGAGTAGCAGCTGTGTTAGTCTGTCTCCGCAAAAAGAACAGGAGTACTTGTGGCATCTTAGAGACTAACATTTATTTGAGCATAAGCTTTTGTGTGCCACAAGTACTCATGTTCTTTTTTGCAGAGATAACAGTAGTTCTAAAGTTGGAGGTCCACATGATTTTCAGCGATAAGGCTAGTGAAGATGCCAAACTTAGAGGCAAAATATCAATTTGGTAATTCACTAGAGTAGCAAACCAACCAACCAACAATCCTTAAGATAAAAAGCACAAGTATTTGGGGAAGTACAGAAGAGCTACATTAAAAATCTTCCATGAGGTAAGTGGAAACACCTTAGCTCCTCTATATTTCCACTTGCTATTGGCATTGTACTTGTCATTAGTTTGCTAAGAAAATAAGACAATTGGTACCATTTTGTTGGTCACAAGAAGTTGTGTATGCACTGCCTGTAGAGTTCTGGCATCCAGCCAACAGCAAGTTAAACCTTTGTGACTGGCACAAGCAGCCAATTAAAGTAATACTGAGTTCCCACATCATTACACATACTAGTTGACATCTTGTGTGCGAAAACACTAGTTCACAGTCTGAAACAAAAAGGCACCTTTAGAAACTAGAAAGACAAAGAAATAAAATGTTTCCTACATTCAGCATGGGAAATCTTCTGAAGCATCTAAAAGGGGTCTGCAACTCATGAGAAAAAACATTAAAATATGCAGTGGTACTGTCCCCTTGAGAAAAGGAATGTAAATAACTGACATCAGAATACATACCTCTAGTTTGTCAATCTTCCTATATATCTGTCTCATTTCTGTAGCTTTTGTGTGAATCTGAGGTACACTTTCATTGACTACTTGAGAAGACTCGCTTCGAATCTAAAACCAATCCAAACAAATTACATAAAGTTGAGTGAACACTATAATGACTAAATCTGTACAATAACTTTGGTATATTCTAATACTAAAGTTAGTGACATCTAGTTAAAGCCACTGGATCTTGAAGGCTGTAAACAAATTAGTGCTGGTACTGTGTCTGTTAACATATGCAATCATATGCTGGGCTCATTTCTTAATTATTTCCAAATGGCACAGAGAACTGCCAATAATGAAAAACAGAAGTCAAAATGTAATAAATAATAATAAAATACTAAATCTTTGCACTTTCAACTCTTTTCATTCAAAGATCACAAAATACTTTATAAAGGTTAATATTATCCCCATTTGACAGATGGGAAAATGGAGACATTGAAAAGTTAAGACACCAACTCAAAATCACAAAAAGCCACTGCATCTCAAGAGCATGAGGTTCAAGTGCAATTTTTATCATAGTTTCAAGAGATTTCCACCAACTTTAAGTTTTTCTAAGGTGCCCATGACTGTAGTACGACTCCTGCCATTCAGATATATAAAGGTAAACCTATTTTATTAATAAGGGGTACTATTTCTGGTAGGAAGTTTTTTGTCTTCTTTTCGTCTCTTCTGACTTGCTCCTTTCTCTTTCCCTTAAGCTCAACAAACATCATCTTTCCCAAACAGCTGAATATGACAAACTGCAACAAAATATTTTTTATATATACATACTAACACACACACACATAGGAGTAACATCTTATTGCAGTTAACTTTTCTTGGAGAAGTATATAGGAAGCAACAGGAAACATATTTGGCATGTGGTTTTGCTCTATGATATTACAAGAGCAATGTCAAAATGTAGAAAATACCTACCTCACACTAGGCACATGAGGCTATGTTACTTGTAAGGCACTTTTAATCAGAAGAAGGTGCTATGCAATCTGATGTCTCTTTTCTGTGAGAGCAGAAGAGACATGTGGTGCAACACTGAGGGTGATTAGGAGATATCTTTAGATATTCTTTCTGTCCATGGCAGGAAAGCTGCGATTACTCGCTGCATGTGGTTCTTTTTTTTTTTGGCATTCGGTTTTGAGTGAGAAATTTAATTCTGAAGCTGTCTTATGTCAGAGGTTCCCAAACTTTTTTTGCTGCACCTCCCCTTGAGAGATTCATGTCCCATGCATGCCCCTCTCAGCACAGGGAAAGTTTGGAGCTGAGGGTGGAATCACCACATAAACAATGAATACAGGGAGGAGGCTCACACACACAATATGAATCCTAGCTGCCTGGAGCAACAACTTGTATGCACATAGTGGCTCCGCCCCCTCCTTGCATGTGTGCCCACATGCTTAGTGCGAGGCCTTTTTTGTGGGACCAGAATACCTGTGCAGGACTGCCACAATGTTGATTCATAACTCAGCCATGGTGGTAAGGGAGGATTGGGGTGGTGGTGGTGGTGGGGGATACGAATTCTTATGAGGCTGTGTGGTTTCTGTGGGAATCGCCTGGCAGCAGGATGGTGGCACAGCACTGGGTGTGCTGAGTAATGGTAATGGGGATCCTAGGGGCAGGGACTTTGGGATCAGCCTCATACCCACAATGCCCCAGGGCGCACAGGGTGGAGTTGGGCACCTCAGGGAATCGGTTCAGCACATACTGGCTACCCTGAAGAAACAAGAAAAAAATTATTAACCCATCAGGGTCTTGTGCGCACCTGCTAATGTGGGAGGGAGGAGAGCAGGGAAAGGATGGGTGGTATGCCCCAGAATTTGAAAAACAATATCTTCTATGTTTTTGGAATACACTATTACTTCACATAAGTACAATCCTCATTATTTATATATGGATACCTGCCAATATGCAGTTAGCAATTCTGCAATTTTTTTATGGTTATATATTTAAAATTTTGCATCTTACTATTTTATTAACAAAATAAATAAATGAATAACTACAATCAGGTTGCAAAAAAGTACTGCAAGTCTGTTTCAATACTGTAAACACACAATGCAATCTTATAGTCTGAAATGAACTCTGCATCTGTTAGAAACCACTAAAAATTCAGTAATGGCTACTAGTGAAGATGGTTTGGGGGAAACCTTAAACTTCTGACTGACAGAAGGCAAGAGGGGAAGACAGGAGGGAACCACTCCATAATTGTCCTGTTCTGTACATGCCCCCTGAAGTTCTGGTATGGGACACCATCAACAACAGGATACTGGGCAAGATGGACCATGGTCTGACCCAGTAGGGCAGCTCTTATGTTCTTAATGATTTATGATCATTGAAATTATGAACAAGATGAAGTCTGGAGATTCAAGAGTGACTGAAGTCAAACAGGAACATAAAACAATATGGTACTGTTAATTAAAGGCACAACATCAGGTTAATAAGTGATAAATAAAGGAAAGCTAGGTTCTTACCAAAAACAGTCTTAGATCATCAGCCTGTCAAAATTCTACTTGCCCCAAAAGATTTTTTTTCCTGGACAGGCATATAAAATATTTTTCTTTGCCATTATTATATTAAAGATGGATTACTATCTTTCTGTGCCTCAGAAGATTAATTTTCATTAACATTTTTCAAGGCAATCTTATATTATTAGAACTGAAAGAATGAAGAATAAAATCTAATTTACTTTTCACTATTTATGCTCTTTCCTATTTGCTTCTTTCTCAATGAAAACAGGCTTTTAAATCTCACTTTTGTCAATGGCCAAATAGCAGTGAATTTCATGGTTTTGGTTTTCATGCACTAGCCTTATACTGTAACATTTAGGTGCAAAGACTGCATGGAGCATGTTGGTTTTTATAAAGGTCTACCCACTAGAATTCAAATAAACACTTCTATTAGTTTTAGGGTTTGAAAAACTTATTCTTATTAAACTTATGGGCCAAATATGACTTAGAAATGTCCCTTCAAATATCTGTCATTGTACTGGCTAATATTTTCATAAAGGAGAGTTGAGACACATAGATCATAGAATATCAGGGTTGGAAGGGACCCCAGAAGGTCATCTAGTCCAACCCCCTGCTCGAAGCAGGACCAATTCCCAGTTAAATCATCCCAGCCAGGGCTTTGTCAAGCCTGACCTTAAAAACCTCTAAGGAAGGAGATTCTACCACCTCCCTAGGTAACGCATTCCAGTGTTTCACCACCCTCTTAGTGAAAAAGTTTTTCCTAATATCCAATCTAAACCTCCCCCACTGCAACTTGAGACCATTACTCCTCGTTCTGTCATCTGCTACCATTGAGAACAGTCTAGAGCCATCCTCTTTGGAACCCCCTTTCAGGTAGTTGAAAGCAGCTATCAAATCCCCCCTCATTCTTCTCTTCTGCAGGCTAAACAATCCCAGCTCCCTCAGCCTCTCCTCATAAGCTCACGTATACGTTACACATGTACATTTGTGCATACATTTAATCACTGCATGCAAACTGGATAATTTTGGGGTAAGCATGCATGGGAAATGTTTGCACACCTAGACCTCGACTTAAAAAAAGAAAAAGTGACCCCTAATGTGAATCATATGCTGGTTATTCCCATGAAGGAAAAAAAAAACCCAAACCACCCAACTTTTTCAGCACTTCCCCCCCATCCATCCCCCCCCAAAATAGGCAGTACCCATATGGAAGTTACAGAGATCAATACATACCATGTCTAACATCCCTACAAATTCATCAACCCTGGTCAGCAAATCTTCTAGACTCTTGTCTAAGCTTTCTATCTGTAAAAAAAATACATTCAGGTAATGAAAAATATACTTTGGCACTGCAGTTCTCAAACTCTGGGTCGGGACCCCAAAGTGGCTTAGACTTGTTGGGGCCCGAAGCTTCAGCCTTGAGCAGCAGGATTCAGGTTATAGGCCCCCTGCCTGGGGCTGAAGCCCTTGGGCTTCAGTCTCTCTGCCTAGGGTGGTGGGGCTTGGGCTTCGGTCCCCTCTCCTGGGGTCACAAAGTAATTTTTGTTGTCAGAAGGGGGTCGGAGTGCAATGAAGTTTGAGAACCCTGCTACAGCGGATCACAACAACTAAAAATTCATCGTAGTGAAACTTCACTATTTTGCCATATCTTAGCAACTACCTCTATACACAAATGACTAGTCACAAGTTCTGCACGTTATACTACATAACTTATGCATCAATAAATCTATGTCAGTATAATTATATTTAACTCTTATAGGATGAACATCCTATGGATAAAATCACCTTGAAATCAAGTTAGTTTAAAAAACTTAGTAAAGACCACCCCACCAAGCCCCTCAAACCTGGACTCCCACTCCACTGAGCCCCACCCAGCTGCATCTGGACCTACATCCCATCAAGCCCCACTCCCATAGCACTCAGACACCCCTCCTCCCCACCGAGGCCCTTCCCCCCACACTCAGACTTCTCCCCACTGAGCCCCAAACACCTTCACCTCGACCCCCCTGCAGAGTCCGATTGTCCCTGGCACCCTCCAACAAGCCCCCATGCACCCAGATCCATCCCTGGTACCCAGATCCCCCCACTGAGCCACCCACACCCAGAATGCCCCATCCAGAACCCTCTCCCCCCCCACTTGGGTCAAGCTGGGTTGAGCCTGCTTGCCCACACCTTGGTGCAGAGGGGGCAGGGCCCCAGGGTATTTCTGGGACAGGCCTGGCCCTTGCACTGTGTCAGGGCTAGGTGCAGCCTTACCACAGAGTCCACGTCTGGGGGCATGAGGCCACAGGGTAATTCCCCACCTCTGTGCAGCCAGTGGCCTGTGCTCCCCACTGGCATGCTGGAGTCTCTACATTTATTTACTGACAAAAATTTGCAGAATATTAAAATACTGTGCTCAGAATTCCCTGGCACAGAATTTCCTCTGGAGTATTACAGAGATCTGAAACACTGGTTGTGACACTAACAATTTAAAAGGTCTCTTGACAGTGACTGATTAAATGTGCTGATGTACCTTCAAGGCCAGTGCTTGCTGGTTCTTAATGCAGATTGTGAGTTTAAACTATCTGTGAGACAGAGACCACATCTTTACATGTACTTTCTATAAACGGCAGAACTTCAAATGTACAAACATTAATGTTACAAATGACCAGTTATACAAACCAGTCTACCAGATGGAAGAACACAAATAACCACAAAATGAAAGTCAACATCCCTTGACAGTCGGATGCCTCCAAGGCACTGGCAGTCCCTTCGCCCCACGCTTTAAGGGGCGGTGAAAGCAACACCCAGCACTGGCAACTCCTGCCCCCAACCTACGGGGATTCTGAAAAATCCAATTTCCCGATTTGATGAACTCAATCTCCAAAATGGTTCTTAAAACAGCGGTTCTGCTGCACTTTACACCAGTAAGTAACCTCTGGCTTTAGATTTTTCTCTCTAAATTTTGGTTTCGACTAAACCGGGCCCCCCGCCGCCTTATTTTCCAGTGGAGACCCGCCCTGGACAGGCCCAGCTTCAGCCGAACTCCGGGTTTGCCCCACAAAATAAACAAAGCGGCTTTTTAATAAGTGAGGGAAAAACAAAAACAAACCCAGAAAAACTCGGTATTTTAGTTTTTAAAAACTGAGACACCCGCCCCGCCCAAGTTCAACTTCTGCTGCTGACGCGGCCCCCCCGAGGGAAGGCAGCAGGGGGCGAGCGGCCAGCTCCGAGGCGGGAGCTGCCCATGCGCCCCCCCCCCCGAGCCATAGGGGCGTCAGGGTGAGTGTCCGGTCCGGGTTCCGGCCTCGGTCTCTGTCTCGACGCCGGGGGGCGGCGCAGCCACGCGAGGCCCCCGGCCCGCACGCGGGTGTCAGCCCACCCCCCAGCGCGGCCCCCGTAGCGCGAGCAGGCCTCGCTACGGGTGCACGCAGGGAACAACCCGCCCCGCCCCCTCTCACCTGCGCGCAGAAGTCGACCCCAGCCGGGAGCAGGTAGGCGGAGTAGTCGGCAGCGGCGCGGCTGAGCAGGAGCTCCGGGGGGTCGCCCTCCTCCCCGATGCCCGACGCGCTGCTGGGGCTCTGCGAGACGTTGCCGCTGTCCCCGCTCAGCCAAGCGCCCGGCGGCTCCGCCACCTCCTCCATCCTGCGGCCGCCCCTCCCGCCCGCAGTTCACGTGGGGACGTGGAGGGGGGTCGCAAACGGCCTCTCAACGGCAGCCCTGCAGGGTCAAGCCCAGAGGTGAAGCGAGGGGAGGAGTCTGCGCAGGCGGCTTAGGCGTGGGCGGGGCGGAGGGTGGCGAGAGATGCTGGGGTGGGAAGGCAGCCACGTGACTGGCGCCCGGCGCGTGGCTGGTGTTGGGCGCGCGGGACGCCCAGACTGCAGCGGAGCATGGCCAGGAGCTGGCCTTTCCCTGCCGCTCGCAGAGCAAACGGGGGCGGCCGTACAGGAGCTGGGAGCGCCTGGCTCTGCCCCATTGCCCAAGGCCTTCTGCTGCCTCTGGCTAGTTGCTTTGCTTTTGTAGGGGTCGGAGGGTGTGGCACTCGCTGCTGCTTTTTCCTCCGCCCACCCAGCGCTGGGGGCCCCTAGAGCTAGCTGCACATCCAGGAGCACTGCCCCTTCAGACTCCAAGCATTTCAGCCTTTAACTCACCGGCTCGTTAACAAACTAATCTAGCTGGAAGACAAAGAACAAGTAGCAGTGAGGAATTGCCAGGCCACATCAGACCAGTGAGCTCCCTGACATTCACAGCACATGCATGGGAGGTAGTACTACAGTAGCCCCTTTTAAAAAACAAAAAAACCCACGTCTTCCAACCCATCTGGAAGGGTAAACCTGGCCTTTGCTACAGAGTTAGGTGCACCTGAGCTGACTTGTGTTAAGGGAATTGCACAACAGTCTACTCCAAAACTTGCCTCTCAGCAAGGGAAGCACCTCCCCCAGCCATGCAACACCATTTCCCTGCCCTATAGAGCCATCGCTGATCTACTTAGCTTGACAACGAGAATGTGTAGACCTTGTTTCAGAGTATAGTTGGATAGATTAACAATATTGCTGGGTGGGTTAAGGGAACCACTGTTGTGGCACCTTGCGGCATGTAATAGTTTAGATAGTTTAGTGTCCTTTTTATTTTGTAGCGAAGCAAAGTGTGTTGTAAATGACTTGTCTAGTTTTTGTAAAGTCCAGCCATGAGGAAATTTGTGTGGAAGGTTGTTTTTTTATGAGAGTGTCATAAATATAAAGGGAAGGCTAACCACCTTTAAAATCCCTCCTGGCCAGAGGAAAAGCCCTTTCACCTGTAAAGGGTTAAGAAGCTAGGATAACCTCGCTGGCACCTGACCAAAATGACCAATGAGGAGACCAGATACTTTCAAAGCCGGGGCGGGGAGGGGAGAAACAAAGGGTCTGGGTCTGTGTGTGTGATGCTTTTGCCTGGGACAGAACAGGAATGGCGTCTTAGAACTTAGTAATCTAACTAGATATGCATTAGATTATGATTTCTTTAAATGGCTGAGAAAATAAGCTGTGCTGAATGGAATGGCTATTCCTGTCTTTGTCTTTTTGTAACTTAAGGTTTTGCCTAGAGGGATTCTCTATGTTTTGAATCTAATTACCCTGTAAGGTATTTACCATCCTGATTTTACAGAGGTGATTCTTTTTACTTTTTCTTCTGTTAAAATTCTTCTTGTAAGAAACTGAATGCTGTTTTTCATTGTTGTTAAGATCCAAGGGTTTGGGTCTGTGTTCACCTATGCAAATTGGTGAGGATTTTTATCAAACCTTCCCCAGGAAGGGGGGTGCAAGGTTTTGGTGAGGATTTTGGGGGGAAAGATGTTTCCAAACGACTCTTTCCCAATAATAAACCCAGTTAGACGTTTGATGGTGGCAGCGAAAGTCCAAGGGCAAAAGGTAAAATAGTTTGTACCTTGGGGAAGTTTTAACCTAAGCTGGTAAAAGTAAGCTTAGGAGGTTTTCATGCAGGTCCCCACATCTGTATCCTAGAGTTCAGAGTGGGAAGGAACCTTGACAGAGAGTATCCAATTTTGAGAGCTCATTCTTAATCTTTCCCTGTTTGCTGTAGAGGATGTTCATCAGGTGGTTCCACAGTTTCTTTGAGAGCGTGTGGCCCAAGCTGTCAGCATAGTCTGTGTGGTATGTAGATTGTAATGGATTTTTTACCTTCAGTCCTTTTGGTATGATGTCCATCTGTTTGCATTTGGAAAGGAAGATGATGTCTGTCTGTATCTGTATGAGTTTTTTCATGAAGTTGATAGATTTCCACTCCATACGGTTAAAAAGAAAAGGAGTACTTGTGGCACCTTAGAGGCTAACAAATTTATTTGAGCATAAGCTTTCGTGAGCTACAGCTCACTTCATCGGATGCATTCAGTGGAAAATACAGTGGGGAGATTTATATACATAGAGAACATGAAACAATGGGTGTTACCATACACACTGTAACCAGAGTGATCACATAAGGTGAGCTACTACCAGCAGGAGAGTGGGGGGGGGAGAAGGGGAACCTTTTGTAGTGATAATCAAGGTTGGCCATTTCCAGCAGTTGACAAGAACGTCTGAGGAACAGTGCGGGGGAGGGGGGGATAAACATGGGGAAATAGTTTTACTTCGTGTAGTGACCCATCCACTCCCAGTCTCTATTAAAGCCTAAGTTAATTGTATCCAGTTTGCAAATTAATTCCAATTCAGCAGTCTCTCGCTGGAGTCTGGTTTTGAAGTTTTTGTGTTGAAGTATTGCCACTTTTAGGTCTGTAATCGAGTGACCAGAGAGATTGAAGTGTTCTCCAACTGGTTTTTGAATGTTATAATTCTTGACGTCTGATTTGTGTCCATTTGTTCTTTTACATAGAGACTGTCCAGTTTGACCAATGTACATGGCAGAGGGGCATTGCTGGCCCGTGAAGGCATATATCACATTGGTAGATGTGCAGGTGAACGAGCCTCTGATATTGTGGCTGATGTTATTAGGCCCTGTGATGGTGTCCCCTGAATAGATATTTGGACACAGTTGGCAACGGGCTTTGTTGCAAGGATAGGTTCCTGGGTTAGTGGTTCTGTTGTGTGGTGTGTGGTTGCTGGTGAGTATTTGCTTCAGGTTGGGGGCTGTCTGTAAGGAAGGACTGGCCTGTCTCCCAAGATCTGTGAGAGTGATGGGTCGTCCTTCAGGATAGGTTGTAGATCCTTGATGATGCGTTGGAGAGGTTTTAGTTGGGGGCTGAAGGTGATGGCTAGTGGCGTTCTGTTATTTTCTTTGTTAGGCCTGTCCTGTAGTAGGTGACTTCTGGGTACTCTTCTGGCTCTGTCAATCTGTGTGACTTGTATTGAGCCTAATGGTCCTCCACCAGCTGCTATACCACAATTCCTCTGACCTTGCGACAGCAGCTGCAGTCACAGTTTTGGACTTCACAAGCCAGACCTCACAAGACGCCCACCCCTTTAAATGTTAGAGTAGCAGCCATGTTAGTCTGTATCCGCAAAAAGAAAAGGAGGACTTGTGGCACCTTAGAGACTAACAAATTTATCTGAGCATAAGCTTATGCTCAAATAAATTTGTTAGTCTCTAAGGTGCCACAAGTCCTCCTTTTCTTTTCACCCCTTTAAAGACACCTATGTATCTTTCAAATGGCTCTTCCTGATTGTCCATCATGGCAAGCAAACATCACCTCACCTTTGTTGTTTACATCTGACCGTCCGATCATGCTAGCCTCATGAACACATAGCTACCAGATCCAATACTGCTTGCCTGCCCCACCCAGGAGTGCATCTCCTGGGCCTGTGCGTAAAAGAGTCTGCAAGCACAGCTAGGAATAGCCACAGAAACATCAACTTCTAGAAGCAGATTGCCTGGGGAAGTTCTGGCAAAGGTGTATGACAGGGATCAGCAGCAGGCTCACCAGGGCAGATGGAGGGACCCAGACTCCCCACTCTGCAGGGACCCAGACTCCCCACTCTGCAGGGTTCCCTTGCTCGTGCAGCTCTTCCCCACTCTGCAGGGTAGAGGGGGCCTCAGAGCCTGAGAGAAAGCAGGGATTTTCCCTTGTTATGTTGTATTTTCTCTTACTATTGAGCCTACGTGAGTTCTACTGTTTTGCATGAATACTGTGAGTGCTGCAGTTTCCCTGTGTGCTGCACTAATACCTCAGTGGTGGGAACAGGGATGTGTGATTTTGACGGAGACCTCTGGGGCAGGTGAGGCTGCTCCAGCTGCCTGCAAGTATGCTATGACCAGTGCCCTTGATAACCGGAGACTCAGGACGGGGATGCATCCAAGTGACAACCAGGTGATTCTTTGCCTGGGAAGCATGACGAGATAAGGAGGAGGAGCAACAGGTGTGTCTGAGGTCAGGTTGCTGAAAGCTGGCAGTCTGCTTAGGGGCACTGGAAGAGGAGGAGTCCAGGGCATCTGGCTCAGGCCTCCCGAAGATGGACTTGGCTGCAAATCACTGATTTCTGTGCTAATGAGTTCTGTTCTATGCTGCGTTGCTGTTGAATAATAAACCTTCTATTTTACTGGCTGGCTGAGAGTCACATCTGACTGTGGAGTTGGTATGCAGGGACCTCTGTCCCCAGGAGCCCTGCCTGGGCGGACTCACTGCAGGAAGCGCACGGTGTGGAAGAGGATGCTGCATGCTCAGAGGTCAGATCCAGGAAGGTCGAAGCTGTGTAAGCTTCTTGCCCTGGTGACAGTATGCTCAGCAAGAGGAGGCATGCTCCCCTAGAGTGCTGACTGGCTTCATATGGAATAGTTCCGGAACCTTGCCCAGTGACTCCATGACAACTGGTGGCAGCACTGGGATAAACTGCATCCCGTGGACGGAGCATCCTGTAAGTGACTAGGGAGCAGTAGAACGAAGGGGGATTACGGAGAGACAGACATGCTGAAGGCTCAGAGAGGTGCGGTTCCAGGAGGAGGAAGAGCATATGGGTTAACCCCAACAGAGAGTGGACCCCTGAGAAGGGCTGTCGCACCAAAGGGGTTCCTCCCAGAGACCGTGGGGAGCTGAGAGAGCACAGGCCTGGAAGTCAGTGACCATTTGGGAACAGCATGGAGATAGCCTATAACCATTTCCTTAAGAAGGAGATTGCAGAGCTGTGCAGAGAGAGAAAAAGGGACGTGCACTGGAAAGTTCACTAAGGCACAGCTGATTGCTCAGTTGAAAGAGGAGGATCACTCTAAGGAGCCAGATCCTGACCCAGCTGGGGGCATGAGAGAGGCTGGGAACAGCCAGGCAGCCCTCGGGTCTGCACCCGTTCCTA